AGGACGCGCTCTTCCAGGGCCCCGTCACCATGAGGTCCATACACAATCAGATTCCAAAGACCAAGATGGAGACCCTAAAAGCAATCGTTCAGTACAGGCTGCCAGTGGAGAGCAAATGTAACAACCTGTACTCTGTAAGTGCGAGAGGGGGCACTGAGCAAAGGGGAGGGCACAGCCTTGAAAGGGAAGGAGGGCACTCCCAAAGGAAGTGGGCAGTGAGCAAGGGAGAGGGTGAGGCCAAGCCAGGGAAGTGGGCAGGGGCTCACAAAGGAAGTGGGCGGTGAGGAAGGGAAAGGAAGGGGCCTCACGAGGGAAGGGGGTGAGCCTTTTGAGATAATTTGTTTTCTGGCATGAAGGTTCTGATTTACCAGAAGGTGTCTGTGCTGGTTATTTATTGCTGTGTAACAAATCACCCCAAAAATTGGTGGCATAAGACAATACCAATCATTTTATTATTAGTTTCTTTTCAGACCATTAGGGTAACTGAAAAGATACTGCATCACTGAAAATTAGATGTGCTGGAACTCACAACATTAAGTTTAAATATTTAATTTGTATTCAAACCAGAACTTATTATAAATTTACTTTCCTGGTTTTCATAGATGCAAAGTCATCAACATTTCTATTAAAACCATTAGCCAGTTTTAATATATACAAATAGGAATATAGGGGTGCACATTTCTGCAATGGCTTGGACCAACAGCACTGCTGGAGCCTTTTTTAAAATTCTGATGTTTCATTCATAATGAATTTGCTCTGCTTTGATAGTGACTTTTAAATTATTGCATTAAAGTACTATTTATCTTGATTACAAGCTTTTTTTTTATTTTTTTTTTTCCTGCATCCACTAAAATTTTGCACTCAAGGAGAAGCCCCTGGTCCTCACTCTGGTCCCAACCTTACAGCTGGGGCTCCTCCAGCACATTTCCCTGTCTCTCTGTGGTGTCTCCATGTGCTGTCTCCAGCATGATGACTTCAGGACCTCTGGACTTATTGGTGGCTCAGATCTCCAGAGAGGATGTTTTGAGGGAGAGAAATATCCAGGTGGAAGCTGTCCTGCCTTTAACGACCTATTCTTGGAAGTAACACACTGCCCAGCAAGGCCAAGCTGCGTGAGGGCCCAGACTTCAGCTCTTACTAGGGGAGGGGTGGGGCCCCTGAGGAGTGGGTGACACCGTAAATGTTGTCGCAGTCATTTTTTTGCAAATTCACTCTGCCTCAGGGTCTTCTAGAGTCAGAAAATGCTTGGGTGCAAGCAACAGAAACCCACTTAAGCCAAAGGAGGGGGTTTGGGTTTTGCTTCTTTGTTTGTTTGTTTGGTTTTTAAATTTATGTATTTATTTATTTATTTTTGGCTGTGTTGGGTCTTCGTTTCTGTGCGAGGGCTTTCTCCAGTTGTGGCGAGCGGGGGCCACCCTTCATCGCGGTGCGCGGGCCCCTCACTGTCGCGGCCTCTCTTGTTGCAGAGCACAGGCTCAGTAGTTGTGGCTCACGGGCCCAGTTGCTCCGCGGCACGTGGGATCCTCCCAGACCAGGGCTTGAACCCGTGTCCCCTGCACTGGCAGGCAGATTCTCAACCACTGCGCCACCAGGGAAGCCCTGGGTTTTGTTTTTAAGGATACAATGAGTTAACTCACAGAAGTCAGGGCAGGAGGGCTGTGAGGGGCCAGGACGAGCTGCTGTTAGGCCAGCAAACCCATGACCCAAATCAGAAGTCCTAAAATGTCATGGAGTTTATTTGGTTTGCCCTCCACGCAAGCGGGAGGAAAGATGTCAATGATCCTTTCTGGCCAAAACACTCACCAGCTCGTACACCTTTCAGGAAACATTCAAACGTTAAGACCAGGACAATGCCTAATTAAGTAAGACAGCCGATCAGAATTACAGACCTTTCAGAGGTTAAAAATGACCAACAGAAACAATATCTTAAGCCTGGATAAGTTAAATAAACTCATTTGTTAGAAACAGTATTTACAGCAGGGTTTCTCAGCCTTGTTGGACACTTGGGGTGGATAATTCTTCATCGTGGGGGCCGTCCTGTGCATTGTAAGATGTTGAGCGACATCCCTGGCCTCCACCTACTAGATGCCAATAGCACCCTCCCAGTTGAAACAATCAAAAATATCCTCAGACACTGCCTAAGTCCCCTAGGGGGCAAAATCACCCCTGGTTAAGGACAATGATTTATAGGGAAGAGTTCTGTGACATAGGTTAGTATCACTTCTCTGCAAGGGTGAGTAGGACCTACCGTTTTTAGATTCAGTTTAGGAATACATTCATGACAACTGAGAGAAAAAGAAAGCGCCTGGGAAGTTAGAAGGTGAAATTCGGGGGCAGGGGGATGGCAGAATAAGACAATTAACTGGGTAGGTTACGATGCCTGGGATTGGACTCAGGACCAATTCCAGATTTCCAAGAGAGAGGACTGGATTGGATAGGACTGGGTCTGGTGTCTACCTAATCCAATCATTTGTGGCCATGGGAGAATGAGGTCTTCACCAGCGATTAGGGGAGCATCCTTTGGTGGGGAGGGCTTGAGGCATCTCTCAGAGAAAGGACAGGGTCCTGCAAAAGGCTTGTGTGCTGCTCCTCTCACCATCATCCTACCCTGTTAGAGATGGTCTGGGTAAAGGTTCTTCCCTTTCAGATGGGGCCAGCATTGCCCTGGCAGGCTACAGGCAATACTGGCCATTTCTGGAGGACCTGCAGTGCCCTCTGTCTTGCAGACAGGACATTACCCTCAACCAGAGCCTCACTAGGGGCTCAGAGGTAGAATTTTTGCAGGTCCCAGGTGAAATTTGGTTCACACAGCCCAACAGTTCCTTCTGAGGCACCAAATTCTAAGCTAATTAAGAGCACAGGCTCTGGAGTCAGACAGTCTTGGGTTAGAATGATAGTTCCTCTGTCTACCTGCTGTGTGACCCTGGGCAGGTAACTTACCACCTCTGAGCCTCAGCTCCTTCATCTGCCATAGGGAGATGATGTATCTCTTATCAGTAAGGATGTCTTTGGTTGCAAGTGACAAAAGCCTAACACCGAATGGCTTAAGCTTAAAAGACCATTTATTGGCTCACAGCCACAACCTAGGGTGTGGATTTCAGGCATGGCTGGGACCAGGGGCTCAAATAACGTGAACGAGACTCCATTTTGCTCTCTTCATATCTTGGCTCCAGGCCAGCCTTGATTCCCCCTAGTCCTGAGATGGTTCAGCA